GAAGAAACACAGAGAGAGAGAGAGAGAGAGAGAGAGAGAGAGAGAGAGAGAGAGAGAGAGAGAGAGAGAGAGAGAGAGAGAGAGAAATCAGGTGTGGCGCCACTTTGTCAGAACGCCTCGATCAATCCACCACGCTCCCCGCGCACACAGGGAGAATATCGCTTTGTGAACGCAGAGGGGATGGTAGCGGCCGCCACTGCTTTTGGCCTGTTTCGATTTTGACCACGACAGGCTTCGAATTCAAACCACCACTCTACCCGACGTTGGAAATTCGGGGGACCGGTAGCACAGGTCCATGAGGGCTACCAGTAGCACAGAGTGGAGAACCGGCAGAGTGGTGAATATGAAAAATGGGATGAATTTGCGCTATAAGCTATTTCGCAGCTAGATTTTTTTTAATTTTTTACAGACCCTCAAATTTTCAAATTTTCAGACTTGTTTACGAGTTCTTCTGAGTGTGAAAAATCTTTGAAATAGGGGTACTTTTCCTGTTGGCCCACAATTTGTCGTGTGCCAAAAATGGAAAAAGTGACGAATTGGCGCAGCATTGATTTCATGGTCTAAACGATTTTATTTTATTTTGTTGATATTTTTCCTGGAAAGATCACGACCTGGCCTACCCCATATCAAATTTTCAGATCTTTGCTCCAATTATTCTGCGTACGAAAAATCGCCAAAGTTGGCGCTCGAAAATTGCAAGATTAGACCCGCCTGGGCCTTCCAGTCGGCGCCCCCCCTAAAAACCCGCCCTGACTCACCACAGGGCGTGCGTCCACGCCGTTTCAGATTCGAAATTACAAGGCCCTAATGCCTCGGGAAGCTACAGGTCCTGCACTTCCTTGAACTGCCTGTTTCCCACGAATTGGACCCCCAGCAAATACACCACCCTTCCAACTACCGCACCGTTTGGTGACGGGCTGCGGACAAATAACTTTTGCCTAGGGGTCTGGGCAAACTCTGGGCCGTTGATGAAATCTATCGATGGCAGCCAGGACCGCCCAAGGTTGAGGCGCATTAACAAAAAAAGGTCACGGTAGGTACTGGTGGTTTTTAACAGAGGCAGGGGGCCTGACAGAGGTGGATGGCTCCAGGGAAGGGGGACATAACTAATGCGCGAGGTGAACGGCTCCAGGGAAGGGGGACATAACTAATGCGTATTAGTAGGTCAACCACTTGATGATTTCTTCCCCTCAGTTCCTGCCCCTACTTGAAGTAGGTCAGGCGACATGCCACTGCTTAAACCAGCAGTACAAGGCTGATACATCGGCCACGGGGCATCATCGTTAACGCCCTGCAACTTCCGCGGGTCGGGGAAGGCCCAGCAGTGCCACGGAAGAAGATGCTGTTGGGCCCAAGGAAAAGGGCAAGTGGGCATGTGTTTCCACATGCACGGCCGCAGTATTGGCCAGACAAGGATAAGAAAACAACAACAAATGAAAACACAGAGTGCTAAAAAAGTTTTTGGGGAGGACGTAGGGAGTTGCAGCGCCTTAGCGCTCAAGACTTGCCACACGCATGCTGAGGCGATCAGGGTTTTGGCAGGTCTGCAGGTTCAGACGCCATACCCCAGTGCGCGCAGCCCGTGGGAGACATGTCATGGAGCAGTCCGCCTCCCATGGAGGCACGGAGCAACAATGACGGAACTCGTCCAGGAAGTGGCGTGAAGGGTGGTTGTGTGGCGTGAAGGGTAGCGGAGGAGAACTCAAGTGACAAACTGAATAGAACATTACGAACAAGGCGCGAGTCAAAGAGCGTGAATATCGCCCTTCTCATGGAACATAATGCACTGGTAGAAGGTGAAGGAGTGATGAGCCTCTATGGGTTTTGAGCCCAGTTTCAAAGTTTGCAAGTACCCTCGTCTGTGTTGCTGGTGTAGGAGCTCTATCTGGCCTTTGGTCATATGCATCGACGGTTTTGATCATCTAGAGATCAGCGTGGCGATCGACGCTGCGCAGGTAATTCTTCAGCGGATCTACGGGATTCAGTCAGGACTCTTGCTCTGTGGTTGCCCGGGGTTCTGTACCGACTTTGAGTGGTTTCTAATCAACGGCAGGCAAGTATAGGCGGGCGGCAAGTGGAGGTGAACCAGTGCACGGGCAGTTGCGGGTCTGGTAGTGTGAGAAGGGAAGGAGATTTTGAATCTTCGATCCTTTAGCACTGCTTGGAACCACCCGAATCTTTGGTCGAGGCCACATCTCATTTGGGAAGAACCTTCAACGGCAAACCAAGAGGATTCAATTTGTTAGAACTTTTCAGTCCGTGTGTGAATGATGAACGCAGGAGCTGTCAGCACGTGATCGCGCTCGGCGGTAAATCCAGGGAGCAAGGAGCGGCTGTTGAATTTCAAGCGGATTCAGAATGGCGAGTGATCGAACCCTGCAGACAACATGGGCCAGATCTCCATGCGAGCTCTGCAAGAACGAACGTGAGAGGCAGCAACAGCGAGGAACCACCGCCAATTCTTTGGATAGCCAGGAGCTCTGGCAGAATAAGGATACTTTGAAGAAATGGCGGGATTCCCATGGAGTCGAACATACAGTGCCTGAGCTGTGGGTGTGATTTAAGATAGGTCTGTGTGATAGGGCCATGCCATCGGCCACAAAATGGTGATGATGAGGTAATACTATGGAGAGCGAATGATGTCCATCAGAATCTGCAGAATAGACAGGACGATTCTCACAATCCAGGGGACAATAATGACACTGCTGCTGCTGCTGATGATGATGATGATGATGATGATGATAATGAAGATGTTAATCATGACGACGAAGACAGGTGATATGGGTCATTGGAATCAGAAGACTGGGGATAGCAAAATGATGGTGAAAATGAATCGTTGGAATCATTGGAATCACCACAAAATGGTGAGCGTGATGATGATGATCATGATGATGATGATGATAACAATGACGAGGATAACAGTGATATGAATCGTTGGAATCAGAAGACGGGATGAAGAAAGGGAAGGATGATAACGCAGGTCCAGGCTGTACAGTCTATTGGGATAAGAAGAGAAGTGAAGACAGGGGAACGGAACAACATGAAAGGCGGTGAGCAGGAGGGCAAGTACGACAGTGTTCAAAAAGCTCATAACCATCACGGAAGGAGACGGGATTGCAGAATTCCATGGTGCAGAGAAAGAACGCGGACAGAGCGCGGAGAGAGAGAGAGAGAGAGAGATCATTGGATATCATAGAACAGAGAGATCAATGAACCTGCTGTGTCGTCCCAGACCTCCATGAACGTTTTATTGCTAGAATCAAAGGCAGTTGCCAAGAGGATAGGCTTGCTCAGGCTATGTTGTTCATTATCTAGCGGCTAGCCTTGCTCAGGCTATGTTGTTCATTATCTAGGGGCTAGTCTTCAGCTGTCGAGCTTAGTCTTCACTGTCGAGCTGCTTGCCTTATTGATCCTCAGAACTGGTTGTTACAAGGCTCTGGGTACCAGTGGGTAGCCGGACTAGATGCTATATAACTCGTTTCAGACGCCTTAGGGTGAGGAGGTCCCATTTTTTACTGACTATCAGGCTGACAACCCTCCTAACTAACAGCAGCCTATCTCGTCCAGCAATCTCCACTACCTACCTTCACAGGCCTACTCGGCCTGCCACCATCTACAGCTGAGCGATTGGAAGCTCTTTCCTATTGTCGAGGCACTCTACCCCCGGCCTGCCACCATCTACAGCTGAGTGATTGGAACCTCTTTCCAATCCTCGAACCGAGATGGCCTGGTTCCTACTGGATGCACTTTGTGTTTGCCTGTGAAAGGTAGTGGTGGTATCACCAAACAAAAAACCTGATAAAAAAGAAACTGATCCGTCAGCATAGTCAGAGGCCCGCCTCTAACGGCAGTCCTGGAGGAAAACAGCCGTTGGGCTATACCTTCTTCCGCCGAATACAACGTACGGTCATTATAGCTGCATTTGAGCCATCTTTCAGTCTAGATACAGCTATAATGACTGTACATTGTATTCGGGGGAAGACGGTAGGTAAGACCTTGGCGTTTGCTTTTTGTTTTCGCCTTGTGCTTCTCTTTCACAAATGCATCTGACCGCAATCGTGGCCAGGTCCAGCGTAAGACGCAGTAGCTTGACCTGTGCCGAACGAAATAATTATTTTATTTTATTTTTTTTCCATTCAAAAGCTATGTTCTCTCAATTTCACCTCACACTACCTACCTACCTACCACTACTAATTGTAGGCATACGGGGAACCCCGTTGCAGCCAGAACCGTGTTCGCAAGAGAACATGTGCAGGCTGCTCCCGACCTGCAGGTGGGTGGGCGATACCGGCTAGAGGACAGCGGGCAGCAAAAATGCCCCCCCCTACGGGTTTCCCATCCCCTCCAGGCTCGGCAGAGCTTGGCGCGCACGACGTATTTCGGCTCGGCATCAATAGCTGGGCCAATAGCTGGCGATTTAAGAATCCACAACTCAAGAAAACTAAAGAAAAGACAGAAGAAGAAAACGAGAATCCACAACTGTTAATAGTCCTGAGACGGGCAAAAACAAGCTGGCCACAATCAGCCCCCCACACATGAACGAAAGTGAAGGAGTAGGGAAAAGGGTGACCAGCACCCAACGCAAATATCACAAAAGCCGGAGGGAGCGCTGGGATGCTTTAGCGCTGGGATGCGTTAGCGCTGGGACGACGGAGGGGGACCCGCGTCTGGTAACGGCGTGGGTCCGCCTACGCAGCCCGAAGGGAAGCGCCCGTCTGTACGGGGAATTAGCGCTAGGGCTTTGGTGTTCTTTTTCGTCAACTTCTAGACCGATGAGAAAGGCAGTTCATATCGAGAGAGAGGGTGAAGGAGGGGAGGGAGAGAACTAAAGAGATTTTGGCGTGGCAGTCAGGCGGAGGAAAGGTTGGCTGTGGACAGCCAGGGAAGGCAAAGGATGGATCGTATGAAGATAAAGGAGGGTAAACATTGGCATGAGGCCGTGAACAAGGGAAGCTATATTTATTGGATGCCTCAGATACTAGGATATATATTATTATTATTATTTGTACGTTGCCGGTGTGGATCCTGCTCCCAGGATCGCTGACTTGTAAGGGAGAACTCACGCGGTCGCTGAACATGTCGTTCGGGTGCCCCGAACCAAATAAGGATACGTCTGTCACTAACCCGATTACTGGGGAGGGTAAACAACGAATTCGAGATTTACTCTCCAAATGTTTTAAGGAGGGTGTCTTGCCTAATCAATTAGCCCCCGGAATAGTGGAATCAGGTGACGATTTTGTAAAAGTGACAGTGGACAAAAATGTGTTCAATGTCCAATCCGAATGGCTTTCCGATCATGCAATTTCCATTTTTTTCAATGAAGAGGCGTCCTCCTTGTCTGTGGATGTCAAAAACCGACTAGTACGGACTTCAAAAATGCATGGGCTTCTGCCAGCGTCCCGGATGCGCTGCCAATAAGAGGAGCGTTCTGCAACGAAGGCAAAAACCTGGCCACATATGTGGCCTCGGCAAAAACAATAGCTGATTGGATGTTGAGAAAAGAAAGTGACATAGTGGAATTAGACAACCGGAGACATGTCCTTACTTTTCGTCCTTGGATGGATGTCCAGCAACTCCAAGAATGGAAGAATGCCATGCGCTTGAAATTCTTTTGGATCAGATGCTTGGACGTTCCGGTGTCAATTCTCGGTCTCTTGAAAGGAGCCGTGATGGATGCTTTTGGCCCAATTCAAAAGGATTTTCCAGTATATAACGACCCCCTTGAGCCAGATCTGAGGAATGTCAGGTTTGACCTGGCCCCGTCAGCAAAACTGAGGTATAGAAAATGCCTTCAGATCGACCTAAAGGAAAAAGGGGTGGTGAAGATCGATGTTATTTGTGCTGACACTGCCTGGTGCCAGAAATGTCGTCGTCACTTCCACAAGGAAACAGATGCCGACTGCCCTGCCAATCAGAAACAAAGAAGGGATGAGGAGGACCCGGGCAAGGGCAAAGAGGAGGAGTTGGATAAGCCCGGAGAGGAAGAAGACATGGAGGAGGAAGACGGTAAAGGGAAAGAAGTAGGAAGGAGGAACGCAGGAATGGAGAAAGGAGGATCATGGGTGGAAGTGGTGAAACGAAGAGGAGCGAAAAGTGAGCGGAAGCCAGGACAACCTTCTTTGGTGGAGAAGGAATTATTGAGAAGAGAGGAGGAGAGGAAACAGGCTGAGGAAAAGAAAAGGGACGAAGCGAAGAAACGGAGGGAAGAACAGGCCCGTGAGGAAGAGGAAAGAAGGGAAGAGGTAAGAAAGAGGAAGGAGAAGGAGGAGAGGGAGCGAGAAGAGGTTAAAAGGAGAGAAGAAGAAGATGCTCGTGGGGAGGAGGATAGAAGGGAAGAGGTAAGAAGGAGGGAGATGGTAGAAAAGGAGGAGGAGAAGGAGAAGGAGAGAGAAGAGGTCAAAAGGAGAGAAGAGGAAAAGGCCCGGGAGGAGGAGGAAAGAAGGGAAGTGGTAAGAAAGAGGGAGGAGGAGGAGATGGAAAAAGAGAGAGAAGAGGTCATGCGGAGAGAAGAAGAAAAGGCCCGTGAGGAGGAGGAAAGAAGGGTAGAGGGAAGAAAGAGGGAGGAAGAGGAGAAGGAGGAGAGGGAGAGGGAGAAGAAGGAAAGGGAAGAGGTTAGGAGGGAAGAGGCAAAGGCTCGAGAGGAGGAGGAAAGAAGGGTAGAGGTAAGAACGAGGGAGGAGGAGGTGGAGGAGGAGAAGGAGAGGGAAGAGGATAAAAGGTGTGAAGAGGAAAGCGTAGAAATGGCAACAGAGGAAAGAGAGAGGAACGAGGCCGGGAATAAAGAACAGGTGGTTTGCAAGGAGGAAGAAAAAAAGAGGGAAGAGAAGGAGGAGGAGAAGGAAAGGGAAGAGATAAATTGGGGAGAAGAGGTAAAAGGAAAAATGGGTCCGGAGGAAAGAGAAAAGGACGAGGACGGGATCAAGGAACACCAGGCTCGAAAAGTTGTGGAGGGCATTGATGTCACCAAAAAGTGGGAAGGAATCCCGCTCAAATTCTCCGGGGTGTTTCCCGCCACGCCCTTTGTGTTTCACGGGCCGTCCCAGCAGCCTACCGCGCCTAAGAACGTTAAGGTAACCCCCTGCAATTCCCGGCCTCTTCAAAGAAGGGGAAATAATTTCTGAGAATCTAACAGGGGCAATAACTCCCTGCAAGAAGGCCCGTCTTGGCAACAGCTCAGCTGCAGTCACGATGACTGAACAAGAGGGGGATTACTTTTTCCCTCCACCGGCAGAGGCTTCATCAACGAAACGGGGCACGTCGTGTCGATCAGCAAGGAAATTTCTCTCACTGGCTGCCCCGATGGTCACGCTGGAAAGATCCGATATAGTGAAGGACCGAGCCAAAGAATATTTGGTCCCACTAGTATGCACAGACATCCAGCAAGGGGTGTTAGTGTGCCTACAACGATCGGAGACGGACCATTTGAGCTTTACCTGTGTTCACTGTGCCCAAGGCTCCGTCTGAGGCTCAGGCCCTAAGCATAACAAATCAGCATCCGTTGGGGAATACTGGGATATGCGCTATGGTGTCCCCCCCAAAGATGGGACGTCACCTGATTTCCATGCCTAATCAAGGTGAAGTGCTTCTGCACATTGCCTTTATGGGCATGGCATCAGTTGAAAATAATTTTGAACGATGGTGTACGGGGAAATTTTTCTGGTTTCCGATACAGGCTTTTACCACTCCCACGGCGGACGCACTTTGAGAAATCCACCTTTTGGGGGACCATACTGCGGCGGTTATCCATGAATGGCTAATTAGGACGGACACACTGTCCATGGTGGCGGGCCAGCAATTTCAATCGATGGTAGGTCTCACATGCCTCCCACCAGCCATCCAATCAGTGATAATCGACAACTTTATAGAAAGCCCTCCGGTGGGAGAGACTGAAGAAGCACAACCTTCTCATAAATCTCAAAGTGATGGGGCTCCCCAATAGAATCCGAATAGCCAGCTGGAATGTAAAGGGAATAGGAGAAACCACCCACCGGGATAAACGACAGAGAATTCTATCCTGGGTTCATAAGGAATCAGTGCAGATACTTCACCTCCAGGAGACGAAGCTGAACGATGAAAAAGTACAGGAAGCGGCCAACTGGTGGAATGGCCCTCAGTTTTGGGCCCCCTCAGATGGATCTAGGGGCGGGACAGCGGTCCTGGTACATAAAGACCTAGACTCCGTTATCCTGGACCACTACTCCGATCCTACAGGGAGACTGGTATGGATAAAACTGACAATTGATGACGAGGACTGGGCGGTAATGTCCCTGTAGCAAGAACGGAATTTTTTGCTTCGCTGCCGGCTTCCATTCCGGATACAGAAAACCTGGTATTTCTGGGGGACTGGAATACCATCCTTAACCCAGACCAAAGTTTGGACTCCCCAAAACTTTCCCCCCTTATAACAGACTCCACGTTACTTTTAGGCTTTCTAGAATCACAGAGTTTAGCAGACCCCTATAGATCTCTCAACCCGGAATTGAATGGATATACCTGGCACGGCCCCAGACCAAATCCACGCGCTCCAATACCAAGAAGAAGGTTGGATTTTATTGTGGCCAGGGGGACAGTGTGGGACAGATGTTATGCCTCAGAATATTTTATATCATACCTACTGATCACTATCCAATCTTCATAGATGTGATCACCAAAGATCTGGTAGCCAATGAAAGACCCCCATTCAGATTGAATGTCAACCTTTTGAAGGATAAAGGAATACCAAGTTGGACTTCGGATCAGATGGTTATATGGGAGGGCGCCAAGGATCTGTTTTTAAATGAAGAAACCTGGGCAGATGTCGGCATACAGATCATCCGAGCGGCCTTGATAGAATTCTCCCGGATGAAGGCAGCTCATAGAAATTGGAAAGAACTTCAACTCCGGAGGTTAGTAGGAAAGGCAGAAGCGGAAATGGGAACAGACCCATTTACTGATTTTTATTGGACAGAGAGACGGAAAAAGGCATTAATACAGTTGGAACAAGTAGAGGCACAGAGGCAAGCGGAACGGTTAGATTGGCTCAAGCTTCGGGGAATAATAGGCTACGATAAAATGACCAAGTTAACCTTCCGCTCCCTCATCATCAGGCAAACCAAACCCTTGCTAAGGGAACTATCTCACCCATTCTCCTTAATCAAGCCTGTGACTATTCGGCGCCCGTTTGATAGTTTTGATACAGATTTATCGGAGGAATCGGATTTTTGGAATAGATCCCGGGTCATTATTCGGGGGTCGGTCAAAAAGGAACTTGATGCTCCCCTGACGGAACAGGAACTAGGGAGGGCAGCAAAGCAGATGGCACGTGGTAAATGTCCCGGAGTGGATGGCTTACCTATTGAATTATTTCTAAGTGCCTGGGAGGCCTTCGCCCCATTCATGTGCCATATCTTTAATAATGTGCAAAGTACCGGGTCTCTCCCCAGGGGTTTTTTAAGAGGGATGATCTCCTTGTTGTACAAAAAGGGGGATAAAAGGGACGTCAGAAACTATAGGCCAATTTCAGTTCTGAATGTGGCCTACAAAATTCTGGCGAAAGCACTGGCCCTCCGATTAGCAGATGTCTTACCCGATCTGGTGGGATGGGAACAGGGTGCTTTTGCTGAAGGGAGATCCATCTTTGAAAATATCCTCACTGTGGTTCAGGCCCTGGAGATCATAGGTAAGGAGAACAGGGAGGTAGCGGTGTTGAGAAAGCCTACGATAAGGTGGGCTGGGCCTTCGTGTCCACGACATTGCTTAGAATGGGCTTTGGTAAGGGCTTTTGCACATGGGTTAAGGCCATGTATTCTCAGGCCGTGTCTGTGGTTGTTGTAAACGGCAGACTGTCAGAGGAATTTCAGTTGTCTCGTTCCCTCCGGCAGGGGTGCCCCCTGGCCCCGCTTCTGTTTGTGCTCCAACTGGAAACACTTTCAGATAATATAAGATACAATCCTAGGATTACGGGCCTCTCCCTCTCCCCCTCATTGGAATGGAAGGGGGGAGCCCTTGCTGATGATTTAACAGTAGCATGTGAGAATAACGTAGGGACATTGACTGAGCTTAAAAGTGTGATAGATTGTTATTGTGTACTATCTGAGGCATCTATAAATTGGCAAAAATCCGTATACTTTTTACCCACGGCCTTCCACTTGAAGGTCAATTGGGGCCTACGACAGATCCCAATGGAAAACTCTGAACGATTTTTGGGGGTTCAGGTTTCTTTGTCCAACTGTTCCAAGTCCCAGGATCAATTGTTGGTGGACAGGGTATCACCGCGTATTGGCCATTGGCAACGCAACCACAAACTTTCTTTATTTGGGCGGGCTCTGACAGTGTCTGCATCGGGGCTTTCGATATTATGGTTTCCCCTTTCAATAGTGAAACTGGGTGATGAAGCCTATTCTCAGATCAAGAGGTGCGCCGCCAAGTATATTTGGAAACCGGGGGCAGAGGAGGGGGAGGGCTTTCTCCCTGAAGTGGCTCGGGAGACAATTGCGCTACCTCATAAACAAGGGGGTTTGGGAGTCCTAGATCCTCGACATCAAAACGTTGCATTACTGGCCAAACGGCCAGTTAAGGCCATGTTTGACAATCCCTCAAAGCTCTGGATTCGTTTGGCGGAATTATATCCTAGGAAAGGAGTGAGGCTTCCATGAGGGAGATAGTGTGTGGCTCAGTCTACTACTCCCATCCTTTGCCAACAAGAGACCCAAGTCTCGAGTCTGGAGAGACATTCTATATGCCTGGCGAAAACTGCTACCCCGTTGCTCCAACGAGCCGGTCTCCAAACAGGAAGTCTTGAATCAACAGTTATTCGAGAACAGTCTAATAAGACAGGAAAATGGGGAGGTGTTTTCTGCAGGCGAAGGGGTAGGGAATTTTGGACGGTCTTGGATCCAAAAAGGAGTGCTTCAGGTAAAACATATTTGGAACGGGGAGGCAGGGGATTCGGTGTCAGAGGTTACTCTGAGAACCAAACTACCCTACCTTCGCCATGTAGAGAGAAACGTGCACAATTTGAGAAAGGCAATCCCTAGGGACTGGGTTCATCTGTTGGAGAACGGATGAGAACAGGGAGCTGGGTCGTGGATTTTTGCGGAAGAAGAAAAGGGTTTCGTGTGGAAGGTCCTGGGCCCTGACCTGGCAGGAGGGACGCCGGTACAGGACTGGAAGGTCATGGCCCAAGGGGGACAGGGGCCAGGTAAACCCCTAACCCTCATGTCAGAGAAAACAGTCTCTTCGACAATAGATCTCCAAGAAGCACGAGTTGGATAAAGTATGGGAGGGAAAACTACATTCCTGCTTGGAGCAGCGGATCAATACAGGGTGGAACCGATGGTGAAATGCTGGAACCCCCCAGGGCATGCGCAGATTCCATTGGTCCTGTATAGAACACAGTTGGCTCTCAGATCATGCAAGCTATACAGTACAGTCGTCTCCGTCACAGGTGGCAAGTAAGAGATTGGAAAAAGTGAGGGGAGATAAGATACCGAAACCAGATTGGACAACCTTCTGGGCTTCCCTGATATTATTACCTTCCCAGAGATCGGCAAGCTTACTGTGGTTGCAGGCGCTTCTGGTGACAGCCTCTGCGGTGTGGCTGGTTCAAAGGGGTATTGAGATCCCAATCTTTTGCAGTAGATGTAGCTGGGGGTGGGAATCAAATATCCATCTCTGGCTGTCATGCCCAATGGCGGGGGAACTATGGATCTGGTGGCGGCATTACTGGAATCTTATTACAGGACCAGCATGGCCTTGGACAGATGAGTGGATCTTGTGTTGGATCCCGCCCACTGCAGGCGCATCATGTAAAGCAGGATGGGGTTACGTGGCAATGGTTGGCAGAGGAACCCTCTTAGAGGAAATCTGGCGAGCAAGGAACGCTATGGTGTTTAATAAAGAAAAAATTTCAGTTCAGGAACAACAGCAGCAGGTACGCAGGAATTTACGTAACATGATCTTGGCTGACTGGTAAACTAGCTTCAGGAGTCGGAAGAAGGGGTATAATTGGTTCCTGAAGACGTGGGCAAATGGACATCAGCTGGCGGCAGTCTCCACAGATCGGAAGCTAACAATTCAGAAGTGGCTAAGCCCCCCTTAACTGGTAAAATCTGGGGAGGCCACCAGGCCGGAAGTTGTTAGACTCGTCAAGATTAGTCGAAGCAGAATCTTACTTGATAGATACTGTGGCTTGGGGAATTGGGAATTATGAGTAGCCACAGTGATGAATTGGATATAGCGGCCATCAATTTTTTGAGCTTCAGAGAGTATTTTTTTGGAAAGATAGTCGTAGGATGGATGTCTAGAGGACGCTGGACCCGGTTTCCAGCACTAGCCGAATCTGGGTAAAGGCCCCAGCTGTTTCCCCGGGTTGAATTGTGAGGTCCCCGGCCTCTTTCCATCCAATTTGAAATTCAATGATTACTTTCCAAAAAAAAAAAAAAAAGTATACACAGTCGCATAACCACCTCCTCGGTCACCGACAATGGCAAGAAGATCTACAAGAACCAACCTCTCCTCGCTCTTTACCTTGTACAGACAGTCAGACAACCAGTACTTGGCCCAACTATCCGCCGCAGAAAAAAAAAATGGAGTAGAGACATTTCTACCAGTCGGATGACTTTGGACGCTCCTGTAGTGGCCCGTCCGTTTGCTAAATTTGTGGCTTGTTAACGGGCACAACTTCAAGAAGCACTGGAGGTTTCAACGTTCAGAGTCTTCAGTCTCTTCAGAGCTGTAAGACATCTTTTATAGCAATCAAGGCGGAAGGGACGTGTGCACACAACGTTCAGGGGACACGAGCTCAAGAGGAGAACAAAGCTAACGCCCTTCCACGGCGGACAACATGAGCAACAAGAACGTCAAGCTCACACACATGAATCACATTCATGCATCTTCACAGGATGCTGTCCATGTCACACATCGCATTGCCCGCCCACGAGGCCCAACAATGTACGGAATGGAAGGAGCAGAAATATGGGCATCATTACCTCAGACGCTGAGCAGAAAAGACCACCACCGTCCACCATATACCCCTCTTTTTCATCTGCTGCTATATGGAGCTGAGAACGTCTGGGACAAAGGAAAACTACAGAAACGATTGCAGGCAGGCACATGGGCCATCGCGCCCCGAAAAGGAAGTCCATGGATAAAGAAGCCTCTGAAATGTTATTCGACAAGGGCTCTGCAGCACTTTTCCTCTCCCCTCGAGACAATTCTATGACAACCCATTGCTGCCAGTGGCATAATGCACTGGTGGTAGGTCTCTGCTTGATGGGGAAATAAAGTGACGGCGTTGGATACGTCCACACGCACAGGCTTCCGTACGCAGTCAGGTGTCCATGCCTTCCGCTTCCATAATGCAGTGTGTGTGTGTTCGTTGCCATGTTTGCTACACGCAAAACCACAGAAAAAAAGCAAACACGGCAACGAACTTGGCTTCTGTACCAAACTTTTTCCGTTCACCGTTTTTCACTCCCGAGTGTGTTGTCATGTTTGCTGTCATATTACCTGCGCACACAACTCCATAGAAAAAGCATATGTGAGTGTTCGAGTGTTCGTTTGTCTTGTAAATTTCCACCACCACAAGTGTGTGTGTGTGTGTGTGTGTTTTGTAAATTTCCACCACCAAAAAGTATTTGTGTGTTTTAAATTTCCACCACAACATGCAAAAGCTCCTATCATACTACTATTCCGCCCACACGAGTAGATTCGGGGCGAGACAGCCCAACAAGTAAAGGATTCCACTTATTTAGTGCGAGCCACATAAATCATAATAGAACCATTTAGAGTGTGTTGCATGCTATAAGCCTATAACAGGAGGGCAGAGTAAAGGGGAAGTGGAGTGCAAAGGGTTGGAGAGAACTAAAGGGGTTAATCTGGGGCAACATTTCCTCTTTTACTATGCCTCGCACGTACAAGTCTGCCCACGTTGATCAAGGTTGAGCGCCAGCTGCCCACATCCCCATGTCCCTTAACGCTCCACTTGAACGCTATAACAGGAGGCAGCGTAAAGGAGAAGGTATGCTCCTGTGCATTTCACTTCCGATGTTCGTACTCCTGTTTTTTTTTTCACTTTCAGATCTAAATGTGCTTATACTTGTCTTTGAGTCTTCGCGTCTCTCATTTGTCTTCATACTTGCTGTTCATTTCAATTCAGATCTTCAACTTGACATTTATATTCTCTTAACAGTGCTCATTCGTATGTATGTGCTCGTGCCACATAAGGGGAGGGTGGATGAAAAGGGATAGAAGGCGGAGTTCTTAGGAGTGTGGGGTAACGGGAAGCGGAGTGCAAAGGGCAGGAGAGAAATACGTGAAGGGCAGGATAGACTATGACATGCAAAGGGCAGGGCAGAGGTACACATGACAAACCTCGCAGAATTCTAAAATACTCACCCCGCTGGAACAGACTACTCTAGAATCGCACATGAGGTCAGTTTGTGTTTGGGTTGCATGCATAAGATTTTGAGTCGTGGAGAAGTTACCTATGATAAGCGTTTGCTCGACTAGCAGTTGCTCTGAGCACAGTGCGGCCGATCAGCTTCCGCTTCCCGAATCTGGTGCCACCCATTTCTCACCTGCCGGAGATTATTTATTTATTTCCGCCAGTGCTGCAGGTCTGCATGGGCAGAGGTGCAGCTACTTGTGCAGCGTTTGCTGCACAACTAGCAGCCGCTCTGAGCACAAGTGCGGCTGACCAGCGTCCGCTTCCCACATCTGTTCCACCATTTACCACCTGCAGGTCCGGCAAGCGAGAAATGCGTGGACCAGATGCGGGAAGCAGAAGCTGATCAGCCACAATTGTGCTCAGAAAGGCTGCTAGTCCTGCAACTACTGCACAAGTAGCTGCATGTCTTCTCTAGTGCACAAGCAGGCCTGCAGCATTGAAGAAATCATCGCCACATTGCGGGCATCGCACTCCACATGTACTATTCCTGGCTAGGTGGATGGGAGAGGGGTGGGGGTCCAGCAGGTGAAAAATGGGTGGACCAGATGAGGAAAGCAGAAGCTGATCAGCCACACTCGTGCTCAAAGCGGCTGTACTACTCGTGCAAACGCTGCACCTCGTGTCTGGTGCTCACACAGGCCTGCAGCACTGAAGAATTCATCCCCACATTGCGGGCGCTGCAATCCTAGAAACAGAGCAACAGAGAGAACAAGCGGGCAAGCTAAAGAAGAGGGAGAGCGAGAGAGAGAAAGAGCTACACACAGAGAGAGGGAGAGAGAGAGAGAGAGGGGGAGAAATAGCCTTAAGAAAAGTGGTAGGCTTTACTCACACCAACCCTGCAATCCACACACACACACACACACACACACACACACACATGCAGAGGGCTTTAAATTGCCACCTCCATCTCTACCAGACAAGTGACGGAGTCAAAGCCTAAACAGGCAAGAAATAATCTGTTGTGCTCGAATATGCCGCCATGTCTGAGCAGGAGCACAAGCCCTCAGAAGCACTGATGCTCATGCGCTGACATTGAATTGACCACAGTGACTATTACAATCCAGCGAACTGCAATCAAAACCCTTAAAGATGTAGCCCCATTCTGGCCATCAACCACCACTTTAAGCAGAACAGGGCATAGAAAAGACGAAAAAAAAGAAGACAGATCAGCACCAAAACCACCAAATAATTCCCACGATCCCGACCTCTTACCCACACTGCCATAAACAGCTTTGCAAAAGAGGCACCCTGGTCCGATGCCAATACGCTCTGTAGACTTTGATGCCAACAGACGACGGGCACCACCTCCCACCCATGTTCCATCTCTTCTATGTGCGGAGGATCTTCAATGGGTGAATTCCATCTGGAGTCCAAACAGGTTCCACGCTTCTCTCACACACAACACATGTCTCCCCTCACTCCACGTCACATCTCACAACAAACGATTCCGTTACTTACCCCCACCTTATTGAACCCTCGCCTTCTGCCATCCTCTCTCTCTCTCTCTCTCTCCATCCAGGCTAGACACACCGCCCATCCCCAGCAATACACCCCTCTCCACTTGCAATACAAGTTCCTCACAGTCCCTCACAGTCCCTTGCCTAAGTGATTCCCCTTCGATTACTTACCAGGTCCCATCGACACTCTCTATAGACGCTGAGATGCACGAAGACCCGAGGTCACAGAAATAAGCCGCCATTCACAATGCCCCACCTCGTCGGCAAACTTGTTCCCAAAACAAAACCCGGATACTATGTAGGTATATCATTACCAGACCTCAACTCCCATAGATTCAGCGGAGAGGCCTCCAGGACCACACACCTCTTCAGTAGACTTTCTCCCTCATCAATTCAACATCCAATTCTGACGCATCAGTTGCCTGAAGCTCCAACTGAATCCCATCCAACTCCCTGCGGAATCGCTCCTTTGACGCAGCGTAAATCATCCTTGCTTTCACCTTTGCTGTACAAGGGCACCTGTTAAATCACAAAAGTCCCAACCATGAAAACCGATCGTTTAGATAGACGACAATTGTTCAAAACTTCCACAGACTGTAAACAACACTGAACAACAGAACGATAGGCTACGATTAATATAACAACTCTATTTTATGGAAGCTTTAGTTTATACATTTCTGTTAGTAGGTACCCTTGGAATTATTTTCTTTGCTATCTTTTTTAGAGAACCGCCTCGTATTATTGCTAAAACAAAAAAATGAAGTTGACAAGTTCTACTCTTCCTGGTTAACCACAAAACAAATACATATTTGATGATTATTAAAACAAACTCAAAAAAAGGAAAATGAAATTGTTCAATACTTCCGCAGACTATAAACAATAATGAAACAACAACACAACCTCCCTCAAACCTCCCGCGCTCACCACTACGTGAAGCCACAAAAGTGACAAAACACAATTCGAGAATCACATTTCACATACGCTGGATCTGCCTCTGCACGGCATCCACCTCACGTGTTATCCAAATGGAGGCTTGTCAAATGGAGGCTTGTCTATGACCGCCCATAGCACAGCCATACGGCCATCGCTCTCATCATTCTGCGAGCCCCACTTAAGATCCCTTTCCACAGACGAGTCACAGCTCAATAAACACAGCGGCCGGCAGGTGCGTGCATGTGTGCGTGCATGGTGCATGTGTGCGTGCATGTGTGCGCGTTTTTATTTTCGCTATGCACAATTATCATTCTCACTAAACACAACCTCACACAAAAAAAGCATCACTGCGCCAGACTCTTTCGCCGTACTTCCACCTACTCGTCACGATGTTCACGACATCCCCGTTTGGAGTAAGCGGGGGGAGAAGGGAGGGGACAGGAGGGCGTGGGCGAGGCAAAACAAACATTAAACCTGTTCGGGTGGGAGGAAAGAGGCACCGGCCGTGGATGATGACGAACAGACATTAGTTAGCTAAAAATAAACAAAATAAACACGATAGACATTGGTAAACTAAAAAAAATAAACAATAAACACGACAGACATTAGTACGCTTAAAAAAATAAACAAAATAAACACGACGTTGGGGAGGTGCAGAGCATTCAAAAGATGCTCTAGACACGGACAGAAAACGACGAGGCACAGCCGTAGGAAGCCGTAGGCCGTCGAGATTACCAGGAGATGAAGAAGATCTTGGTTTTCTTGCAGTTATCCGCATTTGTGAACTCGTAGTCGTAAACCGCATATCGACATTCTCCCTCTGGAAGCGCTTTCGCGAAATCCTCGAAGCTCTCCCCAGATGCTCCGATCTGGTCGACCGTCACTTCATGCTTCGCTTCGTCGATCTTAAAAATGATATACGGCGCGGTCTTTTTCACCTTCAGCTCCAGAAACCTCAGCTTGCAACAGTCGTTCACACCTATGCCAGTGGAGGCGTTCGCCTGGAGCCCACGCGTACAAACGTTCACCACCCACATTCCACAAGAACAAAATCAATGAGCCGGCATGTGCAATTTAACAAACATCATTACTAGACACTGCACGACAAGGAACGGAATGAATGGATCAGCAAAATGGAATGGATGGGTCGGCAAAGATCAGCAAAATGGAATGGATGGGTCAGCAAAATCAATCAATTGCTTAATTCAGTACACATTACATACACAAGAGGGGGAAAAAATGGATGACGTGGCAAGGAACACGCCCACAGCAAAATCGTCAGCATTAGCATATGATCCCAGAGCAGTCGTCGAGATACAAAACCTCGACAATACTTCTCTCCGTTCCCATGTCTCTCCATTTTTGTATCTTGCTCGTCGCCGGTGACAAGCAAGCTGCGGGATATTTCTCTGGTGTATCTTGCTCATCAATAAGCAACGAGACTACCGCCTCCTAGAATAGACGGAGCGTGAGCGTGATGTGTAGGGGGGAAAAAAAAAGGCACAGGGAGAGGGTTGTGAGTGTATTGTGTAGGGGAAACAAAAAAGACCGCGAGAGTACGTGAAAGCACAACGAAACCACCAGTCTGAACAGAGACAGGCCACAGACCTCCGGAGTCAGAGCGTGAGATTGATAACGAATGCGGAGAAAGACGGAGGTGAGGTGGAACCTGGAACCCCGCCGCCAACGAGTATCAATGGGACAGCACGTAACAGAACGAATGAGGAACAGAAAGACGTGACAGAACGAATGAGGAACAGAAAGAGTAAAATAAACAAGAAGCCGATCCACAGATTGAAGTGTCAGAAAAACGAAGTCGGGAGTGAACGCGACGGATCCGGTGAGCGAGTGACAGACGATTTTCCCAAGCAGTAGAGTGCAAGCAAGACTGAGGTAAAAGGTGAAGTAGAGAGGTGACAGAGAGCGGGTCTAATGGTGGGAGACAGTGTGAAAGACTGGGATAGTGTGACAGAGTGTGAGAGACTGACCTGTGTATGCGGGCTCCAGTGAGTACGTGGGCCCGCGAGCTTAATACAGTAAATGGCGCACAACACACGTTGAGCACGGCGGGAGAAGATGGACGAGTGAGGCGCAGCGGGGTAAAGAGAGACGAGCAAGGTCCAGTGAGGTGAGCCAGAGAGGTGGAGGGAGGAGAGAGGGTCCCCCTCCCTGAGGGAGGGAGGAGAGGGAGGGGGAAGGAGGAAGGGGAGCAGGGAGGGAGGAGAAAACGGTGGAAGGAAGTCGAGGGAAGGGAGGTGAGGAAAGGAGTTGGAGGTAGGATGGAGGTAGCTGACGGAGTAAGGGGGAGGAGACGTACTGCGGATGGAGTATGGTGAGGGAGGTGCAAGGGACGAATTGAGATGGACGAGATGAGGACATGAGATAATGGAGTGAGGAGTCAAGTGAAAGAGTCGGGTGAACAAAGTGAAGAAGGAAAGCGGCGAACCTCGATACGGTACAAGTGTGATAAGAAATCACCGGTGACAGCAAGAGGGAAGACCAGAAGAGAAGGCGAGCGGTATCATAACAGTCCATTACTCAACTGAAAATTACTATCCATACACAATCATTTCTGCTCTCGAGGTAACTGCCAGCTAGCTGATCCGACCCCAATCGTTTACAGTCGATAAACATACCACCACTAATTACCGGTCAATTTAGTATTTACGACCACTCAGTAGAATTTACGCGTCATACACCCCAATAATACCTGACATAACGACCCCTACATACATATAACACCCCAATAACACCTTACATAACGAACCCTACGTACATATAATACAAAACAGACATACGACGGTACGTGACTATTTATAACGACAAGTTGTGACCATGACAGTACCCCCATCCTTTACAAAGGATACCAGCCAGTATACCCCTCTCATTTGAAACATTGGAGGGAAGAATGAAGTCAGACGAGGCAAAAGAAGGCGGTAAAAAAAGAAGGCAGTAAAAAAAAGGAGGCGGTAAAAAAAGAAGGCGGTAAAAAAAGAAGGCGGTAAAAGAAGAAGGCGGTAAAAGAAGAAGGCGGTAAAAGAAGAAGGCGGTAAAAGAAGAAGGCGGTAAAAAAAGAAGGCGGCGAGGGATTTGAAAAAGAAAAAGAAAAAAAATTAATGGTAGTCAAAAAACACGCAAGTCGCACCAACGAGCCTAGCTCAGCTGGCACAGCCACGAACTGTCCAGATACAGACAGTTGCAATCACATAGATGAACCGTTTAAAATACGTAATTCCGAACAACCTGACCCTATCTCAAGCCTGTCGCCCTACGCGCCCGCCAGCACACGTAACTCTTGTGTATGGGACTCGCTGCACTACTCTCCAAACGTGCAAAAAAGAATGAATCTTCCGCTAGAAGACGGAAAGATGCACCATCTTTTTCATCTCTCGTCCACGTGGAGAGTAATGCAGCGAGCCCTTAAGAACAACGATATCGGAGAGAACAGATTACACGAGACATCATTGAGAGAACTTTCGGCGGCGAGCAATTGAAAGAGATATATATATTAACACCAAAAAAAAAAAAAAAAAACCGGCACGGTCTGAAGGCGACACAGCGCGACACTACTCCACCCTCCCTGTTTTTTCTCCTCTTCACCGCGGCCTGGGCAAATAGACCCCCTCTCTCTAATTCTATCTCACCCAGGCCGACTTTATCATTCGACCCCCTCGACTTCTTTTTTTTTTTCTTTTTTTTTCATTTGACCTCCTCTCTCTAATTCTATCTCACCCAGGCCGACTTTTTCATTTGACCCCCTCTCTCTAATTCTATCTCACCCAGGCCGACTTTTTCATTTGCCCGACATGAGCTAGACACCTTTTGAACTGAAATACTCTCTTCCCCTAGTCTCAAAACGAGCTGGAAATCGTTTTTGCCCTGAATACTCTCCTCCTCTCCTCGTCGGATGCTCGCGTTGCCTCTTGTTCCCCTTCAATTACCGTCTCATGTTGTCGTCATTAGAAAAACGAGACAGGAGACTGACAAACCTTCGAATCCTCCACGCTGTGCCCACGAGCTCGTCTTCGTCGTCATCGACCCGACGAAAATAGACACAATGAGCGAAAAAATGAACACAGAAAGAGGAGGCCACAATCATAATCCTGCACACAACACAGATCACATCGAAATTCGCCGCCTCCCCTGAAAGAGCAGCACACGGACACATTCCGGGGAACGCCTATACAAAGCATCAACATGATATGCATTGCAATTTAAACTCTGTTTCTTGCCATAGTGGCAACATGGTCGTGTAACTTGACGCTCGACGATAAACTCTCGGGCCGTCCATGGACACAGGAATAACGCCAGATTGTGCCCCTCTGCGCGAGGCTGCAGAAAAAATCCAAGAACATAATATAAAATAAATCCTCTCTCTCTCTCTCTCTCTCTCTCTCTCTCTCTCTCTTTTTTTCACGAGGCAAAACACAACTCTCTCTCTCTCTATCCATCTATCCATCTATCTGGAGAACACATCCAAGAACACAACAAAATAAACCCTCTCTCTCTCTCTCTCTCTCACGAGAGGCAGAACACAGACAGGGAAAGATCTTATCGGACCCCTCTGCAACGAGACGGAGGATGCAGTCGTACACAGCGATAGACGAAACATCCAAGAACACAAAACAAAATAATCCTCTCTCTCTCTCTCTCTCACGAGAGGCAAAACATAGACAGGGAGAGATCTTATCGGACCCCTCTACAACGAGATGCAGGATGCAGTCGCACACAAAGCGATAGACGAAGACACCGTCATCATTCCACGACGACAAGGAGACGCCGTTACATACGGCCAGAGCTTAACCACCAACTGGCCTAGCTCAGTTGGTACACCCCTCGACTATTGAATACAGACCCGAGTTCGACCTCCACTGGAAGCAGATGAGTGAAATACTACAATTCTAAATTACCCAGGGCCGGTCAGTTCGATGATAAACTAATCAAGGCCGTCGCCCTTACTAAGAATAAAAATAATATTGATAATAAACAAGCTGAGCGAATGCTGCCTATGATTGTTTGCCCATAGACAAAAGTCAGGTTCCTGTGTGACGCGAGGTCGCGTCCGAGAGTAGCTCAGCTGGTATACCCCTCACCTGTTGAGACAAAATACAGACTCGAGTTCAAAAACTCCACTGGAAGCGGATGAGTGAAATACTAGAATTTCGAATTAGCTAGGGCCGGCCTATGATTGTTTGCCCATAGACAAAAGTCAGGTTCCTGTGTGACGCGAGGTCGCGTCCGAGAGTAGCTCAGCTGGTATACCCCTCACCTGTTAAGACAAAATACAGACTCGAGTTCAAAAACTCCACTGGAAGCGGATGAGTGAAATACTAGAGTTTCGAATTAGCTAGGGCCGGTCAGTTCGATGACTGTAATATCTCAACGCCGTCACCCATACTGAAACATAAATAAATAAAGCTAAGCGAACGCTTACTGTGTCTATAAATAGGCTAAACGAATGCTCACTGTGTTTGTTTGGCCATAAGAGGAAAGTCAGGTAGCTGTGGGACGCGAGGACGAGTCCTAGAGTAGACAGAGTATGCTCTGAATACAGTAAATGCCACGAGAAAAAAAAAAGAAGCGGCACTGAATTTAAGTGACGTGCAAACGACTTGCGCCAACTCTTCTTGCGCGTGCCTCGCTCTCGTTCCCGATCCCTCATGACAGGTAGGATGAGAAGAGGCTAAAGGGGTACCACGAAGGGGGGGTGTACAGGAGGACATGAGGAAAGGCTAGCTAGCGAGTTAAGACGGCTAGCACGTGCGATCACTGTGCTTCAGAGTATCAAAAACGGTCTGCGAAACGCAAGTGAAAGGAAAGAGAAACAAAGAGCGTCCTTCGTGACATCCGTTAAAGTTGGAACGATACAGAGAAGATTAGCATGGCCCCTGCGCAAGGATGACACGCATCAATCGAGAAATGGTCCAAATTAAAAAAAAAAAAAAAAAAAAAAAAAAAAAAAAAACAAAGAGAAAGTACGAACAACAAGCGGTAAGAGAGAGAGAGAGAAAGGAGCGAGTGCCGAGGCGAGAAATAGAACTGGACAGGTATGAAGGAGTGGATGGAGACTAGAAAGGCGTAACCATGAGGGATCCCCTCAAGGAGGAAACGGCGAAAGAACGGGTACGCAAAGATACCTACAGCAGAGAGAGAGAGAGAGAGAGAGAGAGAGACCGACCGCAGAGAGAAAAAGAGAAGGCAGGAGCAGATGGAGGATGAGAAAACAGGACCGATGACGAAAACTCCCAAGGATAAAAGGGCCAAGGAGTAGTAGGCAAAGATCGTTTTCGCACGCACAAATGAAAGCCAATCAGGATTTTAAGACTGAAAGCGACGACAAATACTTACGAATTGATACGTATAGCTGAGGGGAGAAAGACACGGAGATATAGGACAGAAGAAAGTAGATCCACGAGAAATTAACACTTCCGGGAAGGTGGTGGTCCCAACGACAACATGGGACCCGGTACCAAAAGCAGACCAGGAACAGTGCATAGAGAGAGAAGTCTAAGATAAGGTGCGGATAAAAACGTCTGAAACGGCCAGACACAAGAGCGTTAAATGATAGGACATAGGGTACCACTGCTACGGTAATATCAACTCGTAACTAAATTCTGCGTCGAACAGAAAAAACCCCGTTCCAGTCCGCTGATTAAGGTTTACTTCCTACTCCTAAAGGCTGGATTATTGGGAAAAAAAGGTGAAAGAGAGAGGCAGGACGGCCAAGGTGGGTGGGTATAATTGGGGAGAGGGGAGATGTGATGGTCAAATGAAGATACGGAGGGGAAGGAAAAGGCAAGGCGAGAGAGCAGAACACAAGCAGATAGAGAACCAAGCGGTTACAGAAGAAGACCACGGCAGCAGGGAAAGCAGGGAAAATGACGGGAATTTCCTATGGGTAGAGACGAGACCAGAAAAGAGCTGTGAAACACAAGACGTGAGGGCAGAAAATGAGGAGGAAAGAAGAGTACGCGAAAACACAGAGATAAGGGAGCAGGGAGCGAGGATGAGCAGAGAAAAAAGATGACGCTCACAAGCAAGCAAGCAAGCCGGGAGCAAGCAAAGAAAAGGTGCGGCAGTATTCATGCATGAAAAAGGATAGTCGAGAGAGAAGAAGACAACCAGAAGGGGCAAAAGATAACGGGGGAACAGAAGAAAATGACGAGACAAAGACTGGGGTGACACATGAGACGTGCGATGCAGAGAACACAAACAAAAAGAAGGGATGCAGAATTCACACACAAGAGACGAGGAAAGAAACAAGACAATAGAGAAACTATCGAGTCTTACAGAACACACGACGTTTGTGTAGAACAGCGTCATCAAAGACAGACAGACGGAGCAGACAAAAACTGAAGAAAGCGAAGGGAACGGACGAACAGAACAAGACGTGCGATGCAGAGAAGAAGACGTTCGCACACAGAAGAAAAAAACAGGCAAGAAGAGAGAGAAAAGAGAGCCACGTGGTGTGATCAGGGCAGAGGAAACACAAAATAAATCGGAGTACCTACCTGGCATATCGAGAGACAAGACGAGAACGGCAGGAGAGCGAACAGAAGCCGCATGGGTTAGTAAGGAAGAAAGAAAAACAACTTGGCCTACCATCGCGGGTTACTGCGGTAGAGTCTCGCCTGGCGATTCACCGATGCTCCCGCTATCTGCCTTGCCTCCCCCTTTCTCTCGCTCGTGCCGCGCTGCGTGCGGTAGTCGACGAGGCCAACCGCCCGGCGAAGTAGAATCCTCGCGCGCAAAAAGAACGTCGCCCGGCAGGTGATCGGATGAGCAGCCAGGAAGCTCCACCGCTCTACCTGCTGGTAGCGTTTGAGTAGGCTACCGGTAGTCAAGATGAATGACGATGAGCGCTGCGGGTGGCAGTGACAGATACGCGCACGCGAGGCGGGGAGAGCGGGGAGAGCGGGGAACCCGGTACCGGACGACGAGAGGACCGTCGCAGCCGACGGGTTTTGAGAGGAATGCCTTCTCCCCCTCAGGCTCAGGGTTGGTATCAATCATAGAGTTTCCCAACTACCGGTCTCTTTCTCTCTCTCCCCGCTTTCCGGGTAAATGCATCGCTCAGCTACCGGTAGCTTAGCCCGGGTCGAATCACGAGGGACAAAGGACCCTCCTACCCACCGGGTTTTTCATGTCTGGCGTGGGGGAAGGGCCTCCCCGCACCACGCACCAGATGCGCAAAATGAGAATGTATGTCCAGCTAGAACGTGGAAAAGGACCCTCTTCCCAAAAAAAAAAAAAAAGAAAAGAAAAACGACCCCAGCCATGTTTTTTGTTTTTCCTTTCACTTTTTCACATTTGGTGGTGAGTGGTGCGACGAGGCCCTAATTCCACCAACAGGCCTACCGGGGGCAAGGTCCCACTTGCGCAAATTAGGAGATTTGGGCCGTTGATCTTTGATATCTACAGTCAGTAGCTCTCACACCCATGAAATGAACTGTTGAAATCGAGACCTACGTTCGAATCCGGGCGCAGTCGGCCCCTACCGGTAGTTCCCATCTGGAAACGAGAGCGAGATGTGAAACTGGAATCGCACACCGATGAACTTGTTCCCCGTCTGGAAAGAAGAGCGAGCAGTGAAGCCGGAATCGGACACCGATGAAGGGCCTTGCCACACCACTGTCGAATCGCAAAAAGTACAAGTGCATGGTCCCGCCGGGTGTGACCAGATGCATCCGTTACTATGAATAGCAACGGATGCATCTTGCCACTTTCTGAGGAAGGTGCGCTCGTTCTTTTTCCATTTCGACAGTGGTGCGGCGAGGCCCGAACTCGTCCGACGGGCTGATGGTAAGGACTGAACGGCGACCGCTCACTCGCCCAAGCGGTAACTCCACTGCTTGCGGAAAACATCATACCTGCACTTGGGAGGGGCTTAGGGCCCAGAGCTGTGCAGTGTGCAAGCTCCACAGCACAGTTCGAAAAGAATAGCGGTTTGGGAAAAATTGTTTGCCGTGCCTATGGCCACGGAACTCTGACGGTGGCAGCCAGACGGGTGGTCCACAGAGTCCCACGAAATGCAATCCACGGGCGAGCTGCTGCAGAGTGCGCAGCAGACGCTCCCAGTTCAGGAACAGCCTGCAAATGCCCAGACACAGCAACAGCCTCAGGGCCCCCCGGCAGCCCCAGATTTGGATCCACCACCAGCAGCCTGCACAAGCTTATTCCCAACAGCAGCGCCTGGGCAACGCAGCTGAGCAGAGGGGGCGGCAGATCCAGCACCAGCTCCACTCCGACCAGCAGGACTTCGGCCCCTGCTGGATGGAGGTGGAGGGTGTCTCAGATGCAGCTTCCTCGCCCCCGTATGAGGTCAAGTCCGAAGCAGGACAGGAGGACGGCCCCCAAGCAACCTAGCCACCCCCAATTGAAGACAGGCTGGCCAGGCTGGCCGCTCGTGCAGGTTGGCTGATGCAGAATTTGTGCATCAGGTATCGGGGCCTGCCGGAGGACTTTTGGGACAGCGCCTTCTGAGAACTCGTTCCTCTACTACACAGCAGTCCCAGCCTGCACACCGTGGTAACACGAGGTTTACCGCAGGGGACCACCTGGCCCGAAATCAGTCAGAGACATGGATCATGTCCAAAGACATATTTGAGGGATACGCCCAATAAGTTTGGGCTTACTGGCAATGGCAAAACGATGCCATAGGCAACACTATTTTGATGGTTTAATAACATCATGGGCCACAAATGCAATGAATATCCGAAATCTTTAGTTGCCAAAAGATACAGTAAGGAATTCAACTGCACCATTCCTAAACTGCACCGAAGACTTCAAGACATACCGTAGCAACAGCCTGAGCAACAACAACAACATCAGCAATAAGTCCATCAACAAAATTTGCACTAGCAAGCGGAATATCTACAAGAACGAGCATAACAACAACAACAACAACAACAACAACAAGGAGAATAAGTACAGCAAAAACCTAAACAGGTGTAATAAAAACAACAATATGAAAGCAGTGCAATTAAACCACCAGTATTTGGTCTAGCTATCAATGTCGAGCGCATCGGTCCAGCACCACACAAACGGGGCGGGACCCTCCCAGCCGCGTCACGCAGGAGTTGGTCTGATCCTCGTCGCGAGTACATATGGAGTTTCCGCAAGCCGCCCCGGTCGAGTGCGCCAGCCGTACCTCTCGCGAATCCCTACGACAGGATAGGGTCAACGCGAGGCACGACTTACCTCCACCTTACGGGAGTTGTCACCTCCCTTCGGTGGGCATATCCCCGCCGAGCTACTAGTCCACAGTACGAAAGTTAATCAGCTGCAATCGCAGAGGTGGACCAGTCAATGACGTTTCTCGTTCGCTGTAGCATAGGGGGTACTTGCGGTCTTACACCTCTATCGGACCCACATGCGAACCGACGCCTTGGGGGGTTGAGGTCCCAAGCGCGACTCATTGTCGGTCGATTAGGACGAATCTCATAGACCACACATACACCACTCTAAAGAACATAAAAATTAGGACACGCACGCACATGCACATATACAGAACGACACAGAACAACTTGAAACAACATGACAACACTCCTAGTCCCTTAGTAGCCATCTCATAACTCTCTGATGCGAAAATCAAATAGGTGTCGCGCGTGAGACTTAATATAAAACCGCGCGGATGCAGGGCTAACTCATATCGACTCTCAATGCAAGCATACACAAGCAGTCGTAATGATGGCGTACTATGTAGTACTCATACTCATGCAGCCCTCGTCAATCTCGAGGGTTGCATTTGACACTCAAGTGTCGGTTGACACGCGCTTTGAGAGATTTATCTCTCGAAGCTGGACAACCACTAAGTGCGGTTGAGAACCACACCCTCTTCTGCACCTTGGGGAGAGTGAGTGGTACACAGGTTGATACATGTGGTGACAATCGTCTCTCATCGCCTTGGAGACCGGCTCCATCGTCCAGGGTCTGAAGATAAATCAAAGAGTTTGACTTTGACGGCTGTCACGGACTACAACGTCCGACTATAAAAACTCTAAAAAGTGAAGGATAACAGGGAATCTTTTTTTTCTCTCAAAATCATAATTTGTTTAACCCTTATGCGTGGTCACAGTAGGTCGCGCAAAACACTCAAGACATATGTATTTACATATATATATATATATATATATATATATATATATATATAGGCATGGTTGCCATCGTTCGGGACGGGCCGAACGCCCAAACGTACGGGACCCCTTCGGAAGGCGTTCGGCCGTTCGGGCCGAACGCGGACAAAAAAAAAAAAAGAAAAAAAAAAAGCAGGGTTTTCAAAAAATTCTGAAAAACAAATATATTATAGAGAAAAATAAACTAAACAACATTTGCCTAGGAACTATATCCAAATTCTTTACCAAATTTGAATTAAAAATCAAAAAAAAAAAAAAAAACTATGATAAAAAAATTTTAAAAAAATTAAAATGAGTGAGTGTGCCAGCACTTTTTCGACACCGTCATCTTTGCCGATTTTTAATTGTCTTTTGGCATTGACAAATGCCCTGAAAATTTACAGATATATATTTTACATAATCATTAACTCATTAATTGTTTTTTTAAAAATAATAATTTTTTTTAGGCCCCGAAATAAAGTGAAAACAAAAAGTTAAAAGTGAAAAAAAAAAACAGTGAGTGGGCGAGCACGTTTTGACACCCCAATCTTTGACATTTTTTAATGTTTTTTTGGCTTAGCAGAATGGCCTCAAAATTTACAGGCGTGTAGGTTAAATCATAGAGAACTCACACAAAAAAATTCAGAAAAAAAAACTTATTTTGAGGCCCCAAAAACATTTTCGGCGAGGGCCGAACCTGGAGGTGTTCGGCCTCCGAACGGGACCCCGAACGCCCGAACGTTCGGGGGCCAGCCCGGGGCCCCCCGAACGTCCGGTCAGGTAACCCTGTATATAGGGTTATAATTATGTCACGATCACTTCTCATAACCACAATGAGACTCCTCTCAGCCATATATATGTATATGATAGCGACCAGTCAAATCCAAAGTCCGAACCCTCAAACATATTTGCAATCACATCAAAGATTCAACCAAAAGTTCTTGCACTGCACGGGGTCAACTTCAACCATTCTCTGCACCCCTTGCTTTACCCATGCAAGCCTCACTCTTCTGTAACTCCTAAAAAAAAAATACTCAATACTTTTCTTAAATGACCATTCAAATAAAGTCTGGGAGAAAACACAACAAAACAATTGAAATCACAAGGTTAAAGTCTTTAGGTTGAGTGGAAAAAGTAGATTGGAGTTAAGTCGTAGACCGATGAATCGACAACCAACCTGTTATCAGCGATAACAGAAGATGATCCACGTGGGATCAAGCTGAATCTAGTCCAAATCTTGAATCAAACGATCAAAAGGATTTGTACTACAAGACAGACCAATCCCCAAGCTATATATATAAGTCTATGGAAAATAATCTTCATATCACAATCTCACTCAAGGTTTTCCTGCAAGCTAACTTAAACCTACCTCTAAGCCAGTGCCCAAAGAAAAGACAGATCTTTGGCGAAATCTCCCCTATACAAAGTGGATTGTCAGAATCACTACCTGTCAAAATATAATATAACTCTTTTAAACTAAGAAAATTTTGGCAGCGCTTCCCGTAGGAAAAGTGTCTTCTCATAATTTATACTAACTCAAATATGAAAACGAAAATAATTATTAATTCCAAATAATCAAATTTTGTCTAACTCCCTGAATTAGTAAAAATTTGAGCAACACTCTCTTTAGAAGAAAAAAAAATTTCAGATTTTTACTAAGTCAGATATGAATATAGAATAAAAACTTGAGTTCGACTGAGACAAAATTTAACTAACTTCTTAGTTTTTTATAAATTTTTGGAGCACTCCCTTTGGAAAGGTGTTATTCCAAAATTTTTACAAAGCTAAGTTAAAAAAACCAGAAATAACTTTGACTTCCCAAAAAATCCAATTTTGCCTAACCCTCTGAATTCGTAAAAATTTTGGCAACA